TATTTCTCATTTCATTTTTTCCAGATCCTCTATTGTTGCCAGTTCAGGAAATCCAGTTGGTTGAGTATCACAGTATTCTATCTCATTTCCCTTTGGGGTTGCTGTAGGTGATCTGGAAGTTTGGTTTTGGACTTGTTTACATGTCTTCTCATTTTGACCTGGGGAGGGGGGAGGGGTCCTGTTGGCGCCGGTGTGGCTCACTTCCTCTGAGCTGGGAGTGGTGGAATGCTGGCCCGGTAGCCCCTACCTCTGGGCTGGGAGTGGTGGAAGGGTGGCCTGGAAGCCTCTTCCTCTGGGCTGGGGAGTGGTGGAACAGCAGCCCAGAAGCCCCTTCCTCTGGGCTGGGAGCAGTGGAAAGGTATCCCAGAAGCCCCTTCCTCAGGGCTGGGAGTGGTGGAATGGCCAGTATTGAGATATTTTGTTATTATTTAGTTTTAGTTTTCATTATTAGTGTTTTATTTTAATAAAGGAAAAATAATTATATATACACAGAAATATATTATCTATCTATCTATATCAAAACAAAAAACCACATGGGACAAAAAGATAGGACCTTCTTAGACAAAATATGTGCTATACTGTATCTTGGGAAAATGAATAATTTGTCCTGACTAGAAGACCACTGTGAAATGGGTTCATCACTATTGTGTGTACATAGGGATCAGTCATCTGGAAATCTTGTCACTGGCTAGTATGAGCTCTTAGCCATGTGTAAGGTGGAAAGAGACATGAGCCTGCTGACAACTGTCACAATTTTCTACCCTCTTTTTCAGGGCCCTGTCAAGGGAAGGTCCCCATACTGGCTTCCGAGGTTCTCCCATCAGATGAGTGTGGTGTTCAATTCTCATAGATTACTAATTGGCAAAATTTCACTCTTTTAAGGTTAACAACCCTGGACTTTTAATGCCAGTGGCTGTTAGCTTTTTTGTTATTAACAGCCCTCCTTTCCAGATGGAGCATGCAGCTATCTGCAGGCCTCAAGAACTCTTTTGGTCTCAGGAAGTGGTGGCTGCCACCTGTTCTTCATTCTCTTCCATAGTTCTCTTGTGTTAGCCACCTTCAGTGTTAGCAGCCCAGGATGCTGGTAGCTTTTGGTGCCACTGGCTTTTTGGTGCCAGCTCAGCATGCTCTACATGACATAGAAATCACAAACAGGCATGAATATGTCATCTGGAAGAGGCTTCCTTAAGAATTATGCTGGAGCATAAGGTGGAACAGCACACAGGCTGAACCCACTATGGATGTGGGGAGGTTTCTTATAAAGGAGAACAGGTAGGCATGTGCATGTGCAGTGTCAGGCTTTCTTTTTGGTCTAGGTGGGGAAGATCCCCTTGCAAATGAGGACAGCTACAGAGGGCCCAAATTATCCAGAAGGGCCGCAGGTCAGAGTCATCTGGGATAGGTCAGCAACTGAAACCTCTATAGCCAAAGCAAACACCTCTGAGAGTTATCAGTGCAGCACCTGAAACAGCCAGTCTGCCTACCAGGTGTTTGGGGAAGCTACAGGATAAAAGTACCTTTTGGGGAGCATTGGGCTCTTCTGTCTCAGTTTAAGCTTATCATTCAAAGATCTACTAGTGACAGTAACTGACACTTACTCATTCCTGTATCCTTAGTCCTCAGCACCTTAGTGCCAGGCACCTGGTGATGACTTATGATAGTTATTATTTTAGATTTGTTATTAACACTAATTTTGTTCATATCATTATTCACTGTAATTGTTATACAATAATGTTATTTATTTCATCTTGGTTTTTAGGTAGATTGGGGACAACTGGACTATTTAGTTGTTGACATGCCGCCAGGAACAGGAGATGTGCAGTTATCAGTTTCACAGAATATTCCCATTTCAGGTAAATCTTAGAAGTTTAAAGTAATTTATGCTTTCTTTGTTATGCTGATGTTGCTATACAAAACAACCAAATTTGATGACAGGCAAGCATATTTATGTCTTAAAGAATAATTTATAAAATTCCCACAAGAGATCAGAACCTTAAATTGAATTTTCAGAATGTTATCAAAATCAGTATATTTACAAAAACATAAAGACACTTTGAGAAAATGGTGATACAAATCTGTTCTAGAAAAGCTGTAGCAGTTAAGTCAGTTTAGATAGTACATGGCTGTTTGGTTGATTGCATTTCAGCGTGTACAGCTCTGGTTGATGGCAGCTCTGGATGTTTATTGAGTAAGAGTAAATATTAGAAAAATTGAATATTTGGTAAATATGGTGATGGGAGAATTTTATATTCTGCTACTTACTTAATATTAAAGTCAGAGGACTGGGGATTTAGCTCAGTGGTTCTGGCACCTGCCTCGCATGTACAAAGTCCCAGGTTCAAATCCTGATACCAAAAAAAAAAATAATATTAAAGTCAGAGCAATAAACATAATAGCTTACATGAAATGCAAAATAATTCAATATGGTAGTAAGTGTCATTTCTATGATACAGAATTTAAATATTAGCAGTTACCCTTTATATTGAATCCGTTTCTAAAGATTTACCTAGATTTCACTGGAGAAATAGTCGCAGATCTCTGTCACATGTGATAAGGACTTCCGGGAAGATAAGGAAAATTTAAATGTCCTTGCAAATCAGTTATTTACTAGTTATCCAAGCCATGTCTCTGATCTTTGATTATCAAAGGCTGGGAATCAAGTTTTTGATGAGACATACATGTTATTTAGAAGTATAAAGATAGCCTCATTACTATGGATATTTTTAATGTATTTGTAACCTTAGTAGAGTCTGAGACATTTTCTTTAATGAGGTAGACTATCAATTATGAGGTGGAAGTAAGATGGCATGAAAATAATCTTCTGTAATCATTACTTTTTCTTTTTTATAACAAATTCTCTTTATTTCTTTTTCATGAAGAGGATTTTGTATTTTATTCCAAATAATATGGACACCTGCTGCTGGAGTGTTTTAAAGAAATTTTTTATTAGTATATATTTACAGTACATAATGATTACATTTATTGTGGGGAGTTGGTACATGTACTTAACACATCTCAATTTTTTTATCCCCTTTCCCTCCTCTCCTTCTCTCCCTCCATCCATCTCTTGATCTTCCCATTTCAAAATGATCCATGTCCTTACTTCCTATTACCTTTTATTTTGCTCTTTATTTATATTTTAGGTTTCTCATAAAAGAGAAACTATGTGATATTTAAGCTTGTGTGTCTGATTTATTTCATTTAAAATTATGGTTTCTAGCAAGGTGTGGAGGTGCAAACCTATAATCCCAGCACTTTGGAGGCTGAGGCAGGGCTAGCTTGGGCCACATAGTGAGTTCAAGAATAGCCTGAACTATGTAGTGAGACCCTGTCTCAACTCCCCTCCCCCCCAAAAAAAACACAATCAAAAATTATATTCTCAAGGTGCATGCATTTTACTACAAATGACTGAAGTTTATCTTTCCTATGGCAGAGTACTACTCCATGGTTTTTTAATACCACATTTTCTTTATCCATTCATCTGTTGATAGGCAGGCAGCTTCCAAGATTTAGCTGTTATGAATTGTGCTGCTATAAACATGGGCATGCATTAGTTTACATTCGTATCAACAATGTAGGAGGGTTGCCAGCATTTGTTTTTTGATTTCTTGATGATGGTCATTTTTTCTTGAATAAGATGGAATCTCAGTGTTATTTTACTTTACATTTCTTTAATGGCCAGTAATGTTGAACATTTTTTTCTTGCATTTATTGGTCATTTGTACTTCTTTATCTGGGAAATGTCTTGTTCATTTCTGTTGCCTATTTTTTGATTGGGTCATTTATTTTGGGGGGGTCTGATTTTTTTGAGTTCTTTGTATATATTAGATATTAATTCTCTGAGGAATAACTGACAATGTTTTTTTCACATTCTGTGTGTTGTCTTTTCACTCTGTTGTTTGTTTCTTTTGCTGTGCAAAAGCTTTTTAATTTGATATGATCCCATTTGCAGATTCTTTGTACTATTTCTTGTGCCATTGGGGTTCTATTTAGAAAGAGCTTGGCTACCTCACCCCAGAAAGAATGGCTGCTATCAAGAAATCAACCAATAACAAATGCTGGCAGGGGTGTGGGGAGAAAGGAACCCTTCTCCATTGTTGGTGGGAGTGCAGACTGGTACACTGTGGAAATCAGTATGGAGATACCTCAAAGAACTAGGACTAGAGGTCCCATTTGACTCAGCTATTTCCTTGCTGAGTATCTTCCCAAAAGAATTAAAAGAATCATACCACAGAGATATATGTGTACCTATGTTTATAACGGCACAGTTTGTAATAGCTAAAGCTTGGAAACAGCCCAAGTGCCCATCAACTGGAAACTGGATAAAGAAGATGTGGTTTTTTTATAAAATGGAGTACTACTCAGCCATAAAGAATGAAAAACTAGAGACATTTGTAGCTAAATGGATGCATATTGAGGCCATACTCTTAAGTGAAATAAATAGGACACATGTGTAAATACCGAATAGTTTCTCTAGTGTGAGAAACTGATAGTGTAAATAAGAATTAAAATGATTAAAACGAATAATTGATAATTTGAAATAGGAAGAAAAGTTCCAAAGGGATAGGGGAAGTGGGAGGGGAAGGGGAAAAGAAAGAAGGGAAAAGAAAAATTATGAGGAAAAAATGGAAACAAAGTCTTTGTAAATAGGGAAGGGTGGAGGTGGTGAAGGGAGGACAGGGAATAGGGAAAAATAAGAACCAAGATACAACACCCAATGATAAATGTAAACGTATTGTATACCTAAAATGTACCAATAAAATAATTTAAGGAAAAAGAAAGAAAGAAAGAAAGGAAGAGCTTGGCTTTGCTCTGACTTCAAGAGTTTTACTATTGTATCTTTTAGAAGAATGTTTCTGCTTTAGATCTTTGTTTGTTTGTTTGTTTTTGTACCAGGGATTGAACTCGGGACCTTGTACTTTCAAGGCAGGTGCAGGAACCACTGAGCTAAATCCCCAGCCCTTGTTTTAGGTCTTTGATTTATTTTGATTTTAGTTTGGTACAGGGTGAGATATATGAGTCTGCATTCCATTTTTTGCATCTTGATAGCCAGTTTCCCCAGCACCATTTGTTTAAGAGCTATCTTTTCTGTAGTATATGTTTTTGGCCTGTTTACCAAACACCAAATAGGTGATTGTGCCCCTCTGTTCTGTTACATTGATACACATGTCTGTTTTTATGCCGGTACCATGCTGTTTTTATCACTATAGCTTTGTAATATGACTTCAAATCCAGGATTGTGATGCCTCTTGTTAACTGGATTGCTTTTGCTTCTCTGGGTCTCTTCTGGTTTCATATGAATTTTAGGATTGTTTTCTCTAGTTCTGTGAGGAATGTTGTTGGTATTTTGACTGAGATTGTTTTATATCTGTATATGAGTTTTGGAAGTATGGCTTCTGCCTATCTAGGAACAGGTGATACATAGTTTTTGTTGTAGAGATCTTTCACTTTTTTGGTTACATAAAGTCTTAAGTGTTTAATATTTCTTGATGCTATTGTGAATGGTGTTTTTCTAATTTCTTCTCAGTGAGTTCATTATCAGTATATAGGAATGCTATTGATTTTTGTGTGTTGATTTTGTATCCTGCTACATTGCTGAATTTGGTTATTAATTCTAGAATCTATTGGTGAAATTTTTGGTGTCTTCCGTGTAGAAGATCATGTCATCTCCAAATAATGGTAATCTGACTTTTTCCTTTTCTATCCAAATCCCTTTTATTTCTTTCTCTTCCTGATTGCTCTGGCTAACGTTTCAAAGGACTGTGTTGAACAGAAGTGGTGATGGTGGACATCCTTGTCTTGTTTCTGAATTTAAAGGGAAAGCTTTCAGTTTTGCCCCATTTAATATGATGTTGGTAGTAGGTTTGTCGTATGTAGTTTTTATCAAATTGAGATAAGGTCCTTCTATGACTATTTTTATCATGAAAGGATGTTGAATTTTGTCAGGCATTTTCTGCATATGTTGAAATGATCATGTGATTTTCATCCTTGTTTCTATTTGTGATACCTTACATTTATTGAGTAGTATATGTTGGACCATCCCTGCACCCATAGGATGAAGCCTACTTGGTCATAATGTATGATCTTTTTGATTTATTTCTTGCATTCTGTTTACCAGTATCTTGTTGAGGATTTTTAAATCCATGTTCATTAAAGAGATTGGCCTGATGTTCTCTATTTTGTTTGGATCCTTGTGTGGTTTTTGCATTCAGAATAATGCTAGCTTCCAGGAATCACTTTGGAAGTACTCCTTTTCTTTTGATTTTATTGAAGAGTTTGAGGACTATTGGCATTAGATCTTGGAAGTTCTTGTAGAATTTGGCAGTGAATCCATGAGGACCCAAGATTTTCTTAGTTGGTGATTTTTAAATAACTGCTTCAATTTCATTGCATGTTATTGGATTATTCAAGATTTTTAAATCTCCTTGGTTCAGCTTTGGTAATTCATATGTATCTAGGAATATATCCCTTTCATGTGAGTTCTCCAATTTATTGGCGTATAGTTTTTGGTTTTTTGGGGGGGTTTTTTTGGTGCCAGGGATTAAACTCAGGACCTTACACTTGCAAGGCAGGCAGCGGAACCCCTGAGCTAAATCCCCGACCCTGGAATATAGCTTTGTGTAGTTGTTTCTAATAATCTTTTGAATTTCAGCAGTGTCTGTTGTTATTTCACCCTTTTCATTTGTAAGTGCATTGATTTGGGTCTTTCCTTTTTTTTTTTTTTGTAAGATTGGCTAAGGGTTTGTTTTATTTAATTTTTCAAAGAACTGGCTCTTCAGTTCATTAATTCTTTGTGTCTTCAGTCTCCATTTCACTGATTTCTGCTCTGACCTTTATAATTTTCATCCTTGTC